CACGGCTGTATAATTGGTCACCAAATTCTGTAACAATTACCGCATTAATTACACCCTGCTTTATAGGAGACAGTGTGATGGATAGTAATGCCTTTGGGCTTGAATTAAAGGTATTTCTGCCTTGAGCTCTTAAGCTTTTGAGAACCCTGCATGTCCTAGATCCACAGTCAGAATGATTTTTCAAACTGACAGCCAACACCCGTACAAATGTTCTTGTGACCCAAAGAAATGCTTTTCCACATCTCTTGACCTATTTCCTTGAAAGAAAGAGTACTTCAGAGCCACAAAAACTGGTGGATTGTGCTACTGCTCTATTGAATATGGGCACTCCTTTGGAGTAAGAAGAATATGAGCTCTGGAAGCTTTCAAAAGTGAAAAAATACAGACTATTCAACTTGTCATACTCTTTCTCTAGGATAGCATGGATGCAATAAATTCTAATATAGCCAACTATTGTTTCCCAGTAGTGCTGAGCAATCATTTTTTTTTTGGCTGCTTATTTATAATTCATGGCTCAGAAGGTACTCAAGTTAGCACATTATTTATCACAGTTGCACTTGGAGAATGAAGAGCATTTTGTAATATTAAATAATTCATGCCACTCTTAAATGAGCATGCTTATAGGACTAGTTTAACATGGTAAAGCCAATTCTTTACTTTAGCAACTAAGTGGAGGTTGAGCACTAAATTTCAGATAGTCTCATTTTTATAGAAATACCTCATAGGAAGAAATTAAATGTCTTTAGCTTTATTAAACTGATAGTTTAAATTTTTGGTATTATGTTTTATCTTATAAATTTTAATATTAAAAAAACACAGTAACTATTTTTGAAAGTAACTATTTGAAAAATACCATCACTTATTTATATTTGTTAAATATAAATATTTAATTATGTAAATTTGACAAAAATGCATTCAAGTTTTAGAAAATATCATGTTTATAATTTTAATCCTTTCACAAATTTGTGTCAGTGGAACACAATTATGTAAAACAAATCTTGATTAAGAAGCATAGTGATCTTGCTGAAACAAAGGCAAGACAAATAAATCTATTAGAAATCTGTACTATTTAAAGAATTGTACATATTTTTACTTTATTACTCATCAAAGAATTGTTGATCCATCAACAGGATACTCAGATATGTACAGCAATGAGTAAATTTAGTTGTCTTTTAAAATATTATATGACTTTCAGTCATATAAAAACATAACTTGCATATATTTTTCAATTTAAGATACATTTGTCAAGTTAATAGGACAGAATACATACTAAATCACCATCTGAGAGTATAATTTATGAACTTGATAATATATATAAAGGTATCTGACTTGTGGGCTTCCACTCCTAGTTTTGCCACAAGCCCTGAAAATGAATAAGAAGGCACCAGCCTTGTCCATGAGAAGCTCATGATCCACCTTCCCAACTTCTTAAAGTCTTCTGTTTATAATGTCTTTACTAAATTCACCTTTTAAAGGGTCTCCCATTCCAGTGAAAAGCCAAGTTTTACTAACACTGAAAGTCTGTAGTGTGTGTTACATATAATAAGGGAATTGTGAATTGTACTGAATTGAGTTGAAAGAAAAAATAAATGAGAAGAATAGACCTTTAAGAGAAATAAGGTGATGGTTATGCATAAGGGAAGAGTGATTGTGACAAAGAGGTCATTTGAACCCTATTATATCTGTGGAAAGTGCCTTAGAAATCATTTCATGCAATTTCCTGAAATATAAACTAACAGCTTCATCTTTCATGTTATAACTCATCTTAAAACCAGAAAAGATTTAGCAGAAAATATAATGTGTCAGTCTGGATAGTCTTATTTGTTATAGGTCTCTGTATGAGAGATTTGGAAAGAATTCTCATCTTAGGTTCTTTAGTTTACTATTGAAAATTTAACCAATGTCTTCCTTCCTGGTTGTAGGCTCACTTAAATGGTTTTATTTAAGAGCTATGTGGTTTTACATTAACAATATGAACCAAACTTCTTTTTTTCCTACATGCCCATCATAAAGTAAAATAAATGCATTGGCAAAAGTCAGAGAAATCTTGTCAAAATTGAGTGGCTGTCATTTCCATGAATAGAAAAACAAAACACTGGCTGTTAGAAAATAGAGTTTTGAAAAATCTTTTTGTGAGTGATTCTGTTTTCTGTTGAATATATATTAGAAATATTAATCGGGAGCCTGCTGTGGCAAAGAAAGCTTTGAAACTGCTGCAGACTGTGTTCCACTGCTCAGAAGATAAGAAGAAAATGTCATTTTTTCATCTTTTAAGACAACCTTGTACCATTTCTTGATTATTTTTCTCGCTCCATGAGTGAAGGTCAGAGATTAACTCAAAAATATTTTGAAATATTATAGGTTAAGATTGGAGAAAAAACTGCTATTAATTCTTTAAGAAATAAATCATTTGAATATAAATTTTTAGGGGAGTGAAAAATTAAAACCAGAGAGTGAATTACAGTACAATACTTTATTCTTGCTCAGAGAGGACAATAGGTTAAATGAATGGCTATTTGCTTTACTTTTCAAAAACTGTATCCAGGAGGTCTGGATTATTTGTAAGAATTTTAAAAAAGTGATTAACTAAATTTGATGAAATGACTTCCTATTTGATTTGCTGCTTTGTATAGTGTTCAACTCACAAATTATGTGCTTAATGATTTATTTCCAACTACCTAAAGCAGAAATGTTACAAAGGGGCACCAACTAAGAATTGATAACTGACGAGTAACTTACAAGTAGATATAACTCAAATAGATGCTATTTGAAAAGGCTGTCATGAGGAGCAAAGCTATGATTTGGACTACTTTGTAGTATTTTTCTTAATTGAAAAGGTATTCCCTAATTAGTAGAACTATCACAGATATATATTATACAACAGCGTCTACATAGTTCTCATCTATTCCCCACCTTTTTGTGACTTATGGTGTCAAAGTTTTAGAAGATTTGAGAGTTGGTCAATGAAGTGGAAAAAATAAAAAAATAAACACAGCTGAATACAGGTCTTGCTTGATCCAAAGAAGAAGAAAGATTTCATACATGGAGTAAATGAGCTGGCAACTTAAATAATATCCTAGGAACTTTTAGCTGGAAGTCCCCAGACTGATTATTCAACAGCCGGAGACTTTAGCCTGTGAGTTAATTTTGGTTTTGGTGATCACTTCCAGCAATAGCCGTAAATTAGAAGGGAAAGACACAATCACCTTATAGGATTTAGAGATCTTGTGTGTCTGTGTGTGTTTGATGTTAGTCCATAAAATTATTTACTTTGGTGGAATACACTATTTCTAAAGCTATTTATTTCTAATAGAAAACTTGAAATTTATGCATGATCATTTTTCCAAGCCCCAATTACCATGGAAAATAAAGGCTCAACTTATAATCACAGAGTTATTTTATACCAACCAGCTCCTTCCATGTAATTATTTTACCTGGATCCCTATCTCTCCTCCCCATCTTTAGTGGCTGGCTTCTGTTCTATCAGGAGGGAAGCAACTAGAAGTCTTCTGTCATCCTGAACCTACATAACCTAGGACTTCAATAATGATGGTACCCAGCTTCCCCTTTCAACCCTCATCCTGACTCAGTTTTGCTTCTTGCTGACTCTCCTTCTAGCATAGGCTTGTTAAAGACCTTCCCTCTGGTTTTATCTCTGACCTCACCACCTTTGCAGACATGCTAAATTCCATCTAGGATTCCCAGGCTGTGCTTATCACTTGGTCTTCCCTACTTCCCAAATCAAGTTTGGTTATAATAATCCTACACACACTTGACCAAAAAGAAATACATACATTTTCAGAAAAACTCTGTGTCAAGTAGCTTGGATCTATGAGTCCTTCAAATAATAAAGGGGCGTTAACTAGAAAGAAGTTAAGCTTCTTTGGTAATTGAATCACAATATCCCTAGGTAGGTAAAAACCACCACTCAATCAATCCAATGCAGTCACAAATGTATACTATGTACACACTGTGTGATAAGCATTGTTCTTGATATTGTGTATATGGCTGTGAGTAAAACAATCAAAATTTCTGCTGCATGGAATCTCTCTTGTATTGGGTAGAGTATAGAGTCAGCAGTTTTCTGTATCCTCACCTGGTAATGATGCTTAGTAGACAAAGAGCCTTTCCCAATAGGGTGAGGCCAGAGAAGGCAGACTTCTCATCATCGAGGCTGTTATCATTAATTTTTTTAAGGTTGCTGTCCCTAGTGCTCACTAGCATGTCACCTCCAATCTGGCAACTCAAGAAACATTATTTTCACTCTTTTTGAAAATATTCTATCATAAAACCTTTCTGGATCTTGGTTACCCAAAGTTGTATTTTGTCAATAAAAGAAGTAACTCAAAAATGAAGTTGGAGAAGAGTCCTTCTAGTCCAGGTTTGGATTTTTTTTTGTTGTTAAATTCTATCTTGATTTTTTGTAAGGAGAGTCATCCAGTAGTCAATAAAATTGGATTGACCCCAAAGCAGCACTGAACAGTTGTTTTGATGATTCAAAAGCATTCTTAAGGTGAAGTACCTGAAGGGCACATCTTAACAATGGCCCTGGTAAAGCATATGGAGCTGGTTAGTGAACAGTTCAACCATGAGAATGGCATAAAAAACAGCACATTAGGGCATCATTAGAGAAAATCAAGAGTTCCTACATAAGCTCATTCAGTTTCATTTATAACCTCTGTGTGCCACTTTCTACAAACTTGTTTGTTTTCTTGGCAAAAAAAAAAAAAAAATGTTTATTTTATTCAAGCTCCCAAAGTCAGAAGGAGCTTGCCTAGACCTGCTGAATTGGTTCTGTTCATAAACTTCTGGTAAAAGTTCACTTTATTTTCTCTAGCCATGCTTCTCTTTTTCTGTTTGACTGGAAAGATTCTCTCTTATGTCTGAAGAATTCATGTCCCCCATTGGAGCTCTAGCTGATTGCTCTGAAGCTGACCTCATAGTTAGCAACGCATTCTGAGGTGAGTGAGTCACTTCTTCAGCAACAGTCAAGCAGCTGTGAAACCTCTGTGGGGCTTCCCTGTCCATCTCTGCCAATTTGAAATACCAGATTCTGCAATGCTGACTTCAGTCTTCACACCCAGTAAGGGGAGGCTGGACGCTTATAACTAGACGGGGCTTCAGTGCATATTTATGCAAAGGGGTGGGAAGGTTCTAAAGGGACTCTTCCACATGCAAATCATCAAAGAGGTCTGGCCCTCTTTGTCTTCTGCCCCTTCCTCGTCTTTTCTATCTTATTTCTCAGGAAATGGACAGAATAGAGCAAGTTTTACCTCTCCATCTGAAGACTCACTAACATTCTCTGGAGATCTAAGATGTAAACCTGATACATTGATTTCCATCACTACAAGTCTCCTTCTTTAAAAAACAAAGGGAAAAAAAAAAGAAAACACACTTTTAGGAATAAGATAAACCTCCATTAGTCAGAAAAAGTCCTGCCCTTAAGAATCATTGCCATAGATCCTAAGCTCCTTGAGAGTTGGTATTGTGTTATTCATTGTTGTATAGTAGTGCCTGGCACTTACTTGGTGCTTAATAAATATTTACCAATCTAATAGATAAGTGGGAAACATTTGGTAAGTTTCAGTTTTGAATGAGTACATGCAAGATCTGAGCAAAAGAATGTTGTTGGTTTGCCATTCACACTGCTAGGTTTGGTTTGAGATGTTATGTCATCTACAGGACACTCTCTGCTGAAGAAAAAACTTCCTAGCCGAAGCCAGGCTGCTGTGATGGCTGAGATCATCCTTCTGAGTCTAGACATTTTATATGCCGAAGGAGAGTGCTTCCTTTGCATGTCTGAGCTATAAAGCTCACCATCCCATCTCCAAACAGTTGTAAATGCTTTTAAGAGCATAGTATGCAATGGTCCCAAAGAGAGACATGGGTAGTTTATGTTTGCTTGGATACTGCAATACCAGTTTTCCAAGGTAAACAAGAGATTCACAAACTCTGTTCCTGAAAATGTTTCCATTTCTGCTTAAAAGAGATTAATTCATAAGAAATTAATCCAGACTAATTAGTCCAGACTAATTCATAAGAAATAATGAGAGATATGTGAATAATAGCTTGGAAATTAATGTGAGGATTGCTTTCCAGTGCAGAAGTGTATGACACAATCTTCACTTTTGAGCAGCACAGTGCCTCATGCTGAAATTCAGTTGCATATGGAAATATAGCTGTTCCAAAGCAATCTAATACTTCTCCCAAATTGACTTTTGAAGTGCCACAGACTTCTGTTATTTCTCTTTTAACTTCTGTTCAGTTTATAGCCAACTTATAGCTCTGTTCCTCGAAATGAATATGTTTATGCTATTAGAAACCCACTAACTACAGAGACAACTGGGAAGGTACATGAATCCCAGTGGTGTTACAGCTCAATTGAAAGGGACCCTGGAAGTGGATGTGTGAGGTGGGCTCTGGACATGGTGACTATCACACTGGGAGCCATTACTTCTCTACAGCTTTCATATGGAGAACTGTAAAGCACTTTGAATCTGTGTATCACTTATAAAATCAGGAACCATAGAGGCTATTTAAAAATCTGTGATCTCTTTTATTAATAGGTAAGTCAATAGATTGTTTAAAAGTTGGTCAATCCAACATTTTTATTTGGTGTGAAATTTTTCCTGATTTTTTTTTTAATCACAGATAATGCATTTTGGTCAACTCTTAGCAAAAGCAGAAACTCATAGAATCACATTTTGCTTTCCTGTTCAGGATTTATTTCCCAACACATCTGTTTTTTGAGACCAAGATTAGCTGTCTTATACCCTAGGTTAAACTTCACTTGAAGGCAAATGTTTGATTCTCCTTTTCTTCATGTGATTTCTCAGCCACCCAGAAAAATGATGGTCATAGCAAAGAATAGAATTTTTGACAATTTGTTTGCTTTAACTCTTATAAGACAAATGTTTTTCATGTATGCAGATTTCATTTACATCCAATGAGTCAGTACAATAGGTTTTCTTGCTTATATTTTGACAGAAACTAATTCTCAGGCCAATGGTTAAAAGTATTAGTACCACTAGTGATGACTGTATTTCTAATCTTTCACATATCATACAGGTAAATAATTATAGATTTGTTTTCTCTCTCATTATTTGTTATTTCTCTGGTGGCTCGAATTGTAAAGAATCCTCCTACAGTGCAGGAGATCCTGGTTCAATCCCTGGGTCAGGAAGATCCCATGGAGAAGAGAATGGCAACCCACTCCAGTATTCTTGCCTGGAGAATTCCATGGACAGTGGAGCCTGGTGGGCTGTAGTCCATGGGTTTGCAGAGTCAGACACAACTGAGCCACTTAACAGTGAAAGTGACCATGCTGGGCTGTGTGCTTAATTGCTCAGTCATGTCCAACTCTCTGCGACCCCATGGACTGTAGCCCGCCAGGCTCCTCTGTCCACGGAATTCTCCAGGCAAGAATACTGGAGTGGATTGCCATGCCCTCCTCCAGGGGATCTTCCCAGCCCAGGTCTCCTGCATTGCAGGAGGATTCTTTACTATCTAAGCCACCAGGGAAGGTACTAGCCTATGAGCTCTACATTAATTAATGCATTGAGTCCTCACAACAATCTTTGACTAGGGATTCTAAATTTCCTGTTTTTACAGATGAAATAATTGAATCATTAGAAATGATTTAAAAACATGAAATAATTTAAAACATGCAAAGAATTATACACGAACAGTCATACGTAGCATAACTCTAGATATATTCTTAACTGGACACTACAGAAGCTCCTGTAGATGTTGTGTCCATTATCAGATATGTGATTTGCAAATATTGCCTCCTGGTCTATGTGTTTTCAGTTTCCTGTCAGAATCTTTCAAAGAGGAGCAGTTTTTAACTTTGAAGACGTACAGATTATTTTTTTCTCTTATGGATTTTGTTTTTAGCCTTATATCTAACAATTTTTTGACTAATCAAAGGTGAGAAACATCACAAATATTTTCTCCTTTTTTGTACTAGAAGTTGCATAGTTTTAGGTTTAAAAATAGGACTATGATCCATTTTGAGTTATTTTGATATATGATAAAAGGTATTTGTCAAGGTTTATTTTATGCACTTTTTGTGTATGGATATTCAATTGTTCGAGCTTTGTTTGTTGAAAAGACTGGTTCATTTTATATAAAATCACCTTAGTGTCTTGGTCAAAAATCATTTGTCCATGTATATATGAACACACATGTTTCTAGTCTCTGTTATGTTTCATTGATCTATTTGGTCATTTAGATGCTGATGCTACATTGCCTTTTTAATTATAGTTTTATTATAAATTTTGAAATCAGGCTGTTTTAGTCTCCCAACTTTGTTCTTTTACAAAGTTGATGTGGTTATCCTAGATCCTTTGACTTTTCCATGTGAATTTCCATATAGCATTTCCATATGATTTTTGGAATCAACTTATATATTTCTACAGAGATGCCTAATAAGATTGCACTGAACCTATAGATATTTGTGAATTGGCATTTTAACAATATTGAGTACTTTAACCTATGAATAAACTATTATTTGTTTAGGCCTTGTAAAATTTCTCTCAGCAGTGTTTTGTAGTTTTCAGTGTACAGGTCTCATGCATCTTTAGTACAATTTATCTTTAAGTATTTAGTATTTTTGATGCTATTGTACCTAGTATTGGTTTTTAAGTTTAAATATCTTATCATTTATTACCAGTATATAGAAATATGATTTATTTTTATATTGATCTGGTGTCATTCAACCTTCCTAAATTCATGTTTTAGTTCTAATAGCTTTCTCATAGATTCTATTGCATTTTTTACAAAGAGATCATGTAATATACAAATAAATATGGAAAACTTGAAACCACCAAAAATAGAGTTGACCTACTTGACATTCATAGAAGGCTATACCCCCAAAGAGCAGACTGCATATTATTTTAGACAACATTTACCAAGAAAGACCTACTCTGGGTAAGCCATAATATGTCTCAATAAATATAAAAGATCTGAGTCACACAAACTATGCTGTCTAACCACGATGGAATTAAATTAAAAGTCAATAACAGAAATATCTATATAAAATTTATATATTTTTACACTCATTATTTCTTCCATTTTTTTTCTGCCTCTCTTTCTCTTGCCTCTCACTGGGGACTCTAACTATATTATATTATGTTATTAAAAGTTGCCCTAAATTCACTGGCAATCTTTTCAGTTAACAAAAACATTTTTTATCTGCTTTTCAGATTAGATAGTTTCCATTACTATGTCTTTGGATTTCTGATTTTTTTCTTCTGTAATGACTAATTGCTGTTAGTTCTCTCCAGAGTGTATTTTTTCTTACTCATTATGGAGTTCACCTGTCGAAATTTGGGACTCATTTTATATCTTCCATGTCACTACTTAATGGTTTAAACATCAACAATCAGCTATAATTGCTCTTTTAATTTTTTTTAAATCTTGTAATTCTATCATCTGTGTCAGTTCTAGGTTGGTTTTGATTATTTTTCACCCTCGTTATTGGTCATATTTTCTTTCTTCTTTCATTCCTGGTAATCTTTAATGTCATATTTTGCAAATTTTAACTTGTTGGGTGTTATATGCTTTCATATTTCTATAAACCTTGAACTTTGTTACTTGGAAAAATTTGATTTGGGGAAGGTGAGTGTTGATCTTAAGAGGTGTTGGGTTGAGTGAAGCATTGTTGAGACTTGGGCTAATTATTCCTTGATACAAATGCAAGACTCTTCTGAATGCTCTTTGCCTTGTGGAGAAGCTTCTCTTCTTAGCCCTGTGGGAGCATGAAGTCCTGGTCCTTCTAATCCTTCTGGACATTTTTATCTCCAGTCTTGGTACTTATCTTACTCTGCAGAATGCATGAGTGAGGGCTGCAGATCTCTAGGCCTCTCTACTCAACTGTCTCCTCTCTGTCGCTCTGTGACTCTGGCCTCTCTGTCTCCCTGGGTTCTATGCTGTATTTCTTCAGCATAAGGGCTCTCAGGCTCTGCCTGTATCGCATACAGCCCAGAATATACTGAGTTGGGCTCATCGTGCTTGTTCCTTATCTCTTAGGAATCACTGACCTGTGCTGCCTAGCATCCAATATCTTGAAAATCATTTTTT